ACTCACTTTCGAAAAACTAAGTATGCTGATTGGTTCCGAAGTATACTCTATTCTTACTTACTTTCGGAAAACTAACTTGATGGCAATAGTAACTACTGGCGCATTCGCAGTAGTCACAAAAACGTAATAGTTGTTTTCATCGTACTTTTTTTTTGCAGCTCTTTGTAGTTGTTCTTCATGTCGGCGAAGTTTTGAAAAAGTCGATCACAGATCAGTCTGTCATCAAGGATCTACTTGGTAAGTGAACTATTTTCAATAAACCATGAAGGTTATGACAAATAAAATGTGTTGCCCTTGTTACAAGGTTTTAGACAAACTACGTTAATGAAAACCTCGTTCCCGATTCTTCCCAATAATCTTGCGCCGCTTTCATCCCGGCGAAGCTAATAACAAGCCGTATTTCACGCATCTTCCGTGAAAAAGGAGTGCATTTTGAGTGGGTACTTCATGTATGGGGACATATATTGTACCGATTTTACCTACTTAACTTAAACCTTCACTCTTTCTGCTTGGTTCCTTGTAGCTATGTTCTCTGTTTCCTTGTTACCCTGTTACTCTGTTACCTTGTAACCCTGTTACCTTGTTACTCCATCACCTTGTTACCTTGTTACTCTGTTACAATGTTACCCTGTTACCCTGTTACGTTGTTACCTTGTTACCGTGTTACTCTCTTACCTTCTTACTCTGTTTCCTTGTTACCTTGTTACTCTGTTACCTTGTTACCGTGTTACTCTGTTACCCTGTTATCTTGCTACTCTGTTATCTTGTTACCTTGTTACTCCGTTACCTTGTTACCCTGTTACCTTGTTACCCTGTTACAGTGTTACTCTGTTACCTTGTTAGCTTGTTACTCTGTTGCCTTGTTACCTTGTTACTCTGTTACCTTGTTACCTTGTTACCTTGTTACTCTGTTACCTTGTTACCTTGTCACTCTGTTACCTTGTTACTCTGTTACCTTGTTCTGTTACCTTGTTACCGTGTTACTCTGTTCCCTGGTTACCTTGTTACTCTGTTCCCTTGTTACCCTGTCACTTGTTACTCTGTTACCTTGTTACCTTGTGGGAAGTAAACTTCTTTTTTCATGCAGATTCTGCTAAAAAATTGTTTTGTTTTTTGGTGAAACATTTCCGCCTTGTCACGTAATTTCAAACCAGTGGAAGTGGCTTCCAATCACCGTAAAGTTCTCTCTCTACTCCGAAATGACTGCAAGCATTACATCCTGGCCTAACCCGGCCATGCTCTGTTTTGTTATCCTTGTTTTCACAAATTTCTGCGCATAGACTGTGTCAACTACGCGGAAAGTCTGTATCATAAAACAATTGAAATGTAGACATTTGAGCCTTTTTTTTTTTTAATTTTTGGCTTCCCCATCCACGTGTATAAAAATGATATAAACAGGAGAAAGCTTTGTTTGATCATGATACGACACCCAAGGTTTCTGTAGGTAAGGAAGGCCTGATACGGGGGCTAAAGTATATCGAAAATAGTAAGAGGGCAAACATTTAGCTGATGACGTCATAATGTCACCATACGTGGCACTTAATTACTGGCAAACTGTCAAGTTGATGAAGTACTACAAAGCTATCCAGTCTCGTAGCAATGTTGTTGATACCGTTCGAGTTCTATAGCATTGCTCTTCGAGACCTGCCAGGCAAAATAGAGTTTAAAAGATCACGTGTCGGTAGGGCATTTTATCCCAAGCGTCAACCATGCAGATACTGTCGTGTCATCGTTTTCCAAAATCTCCTTTTACCATCTGTCCACACGAAGGTGGCAATTTCAAAGCTTCCAATGTAGAAGAGCATTTAAAAAGTTGCACTTTCCATAGCCGTTTTCATCGGATACGTTTAGACGAGAGGCTTGTCCGGAGGGAAAAATATCCTTTTTCAAATAACGTGTTCATGGGGCCCAAGTTTCGTGAACATAGACATTATTAAAGAACAAATTACTGTTTCTAATATAACTTAATTTATTATATAGACAAGGGTGTTTTAGTGGAAAATATACCACTCGTGAAACTACATCCGGGACTTGAGTAGCGTATTTTCCTTATCCTCATTGGTGAGGATATCAATGACGTCATTTCCCGCTCAAACCGTTGTTTGAGTACAGTTTTCCAAATGCTAAAACAAAATGGCGAGCGATTGATTCGTGAACTTATCTAAAGCTGACATAAAATATCTCTTAATACGAAAAAGAAACTTAATTTGAATGGCTTCAAGTTATTCATGGAGTTCCTTACAAGTGAAGACGAAAGGAGAGAACTTCAAGAAATTCCTGCCGCCAAACTACAGAAGTTCGCGACAAAGTTTCTGCTGGGAGTGAGATGCCAACAAGGTTTTTACTGGCATCTACATCTTTTGGAAGTTTACATTTTCACTGCCCATTTTAAAATTCAAAAACTTATTTTTGTGGGCTATATGATGTACAGCTGAATTGTGTTAGCCGCCAGGTTTACCTTTTGGCACAAACTGTATGTCAACTTTAAATTAAATTCCAATCTTATTGTCTATATAATAAATAGAGGATATTACACGGCGGCTCGAAGATATGAATTGTATTTTCGAGTGGTGAAAAACAATATTTTACTCACTTGCTGCGCTCGTTCGTAACATATCGTTTTCACGACTAGAAAATAAAATTTATCTTCCCGCCGCCGTGTAATATCCTCTATGTATCTTATCCCAATATGAGCCTAGTGTTGGTGAAAATATAATTGAACGCCGAAATTATCTTTGAACCAAAGTAAAGTGAAGTTTGTGTTGCGATAGAAGATTGTGGTCACGCGTGTCAACAAACCTCTACTCGAGCCCTGCAACTAAAGTTTTATATTATTAGCTAGTCCACAACCATAGAAGGCCTTAATTTAGCGTGATGTATCTATTTCTAGGCATTTTTCAGGGAGCTTTTGTCTTGTCAGCGATGATAAGTGCCATATTGCTGCTGCATTTTATGAAGAGCCATCGGTGAGGGCAAGATTGTAGGTTGTATGAATGCAGATTGTCAATAACAACAACAACAAGTTTATTCAGTACAGAGGCGGATCCAGGGGAAGGGTTGAGGGGGTTTAGCCCCCCCCCCCCTTTGGGAAGTTTTCAAAGTTGTCTGGCTACCCGTATAAGTTCCAGTGCAATCGATCATTACAAGAAGACTGGAGTTATTCATCTCCTTGACTCCTTAATTATCCAAATGCACGATCGATTTTCTGACGAAGATCGCCACGCTTGCCATCTGCTTTATCTCGTGCCATCGATTATAGTAAATAAGGAACTGCAGCTGGACTGGATGAAGTAAAAGGCATGCCGTTCTGGGAGAAAGACATTCCATTTCTCAAATCCCTTGGAAAAACAATCCGGCAGTCAACAGACAGGAAGCTTCCAGACTTTTTATTAGCACTTAATGTTTGCGATGAAGATGCTTTCCCAAACATCTATTGTCTTCTGGTCGTTGCCTGCACCCTACCATCTCTAGCGCAGAAGCTGAGAGATTTTTTTCACTGATAAAATGAACCCAGACCTGCTCTAGGTCAACAATGGAGCGATTCTCTGATCTCGCCGTGATCGCCATGCACTTCTCCGAGATATTAGAGGTAAACGAGATATTCGAAGCCTTTGTAAAAGCTCATCTAAGAAGGCTCTTTCAAGCTTAAATAGGCGGGTAAAAAAGAGACAAACAACTATTATCGTTGTTGCACTGTACTCTTAGTCCTTAATAATTGTATCAATAACAAAATGCTTGAATCTGATATTTTCTTAACAGTCCGTATCTATAGCTTAATTTTGCTTTTGTAACTCTAAAACTGTTCGATTTGACCTGTCCTATCACCAGGAGCTTGTAATCGGACAGGTCAAATAGGACAGTTAAAAAACCAATGAAAATCAAGTAGCAAATGCCACTAGCCAATGAAATTTGACCGTATAACAAATGATAACCAATCAAAATCAATGAAAAAATAGTGACTAGGTAAGCTGTCCAGCTTCAACTGGAAAAGAAAAATGGATGAAACTATCTGGTCCAATGACTTTTATTTACCTTAACAGATATTTCAAGACTGAGATTCTCAAATTTTGTTATTGACTCAATTAATCCGTAATAGGACTTCGTGTCATACAATTCAGGGGTAATGGGGCTTGTAATTTCAAATTACTCGCCGATTACTCCCTTAATTATACTCCACTCTGTCCTATTACCATTGCTAATAGTGCCTCAAATTCCTCTGAAATCAAAATGGAGAAAATCTACATATTCAAACATAACCCTCACCCTAACCCAAAACCAACCCTCCCCCTTCCCACCCTCCCCCCTCCCCCATTCCCTTGGCTTTGGGACGTTTGCTTTGAATTCTCAAAATTACAACCCCCTCTTTGGAAAAATCCTGGATCCGCCCCTACAGTATGACCATTTAAATACATGGTGTTACCAATTGCAATACAATACTAAACAAATTGATTTAAGGAAATACAAATATAATTGAATGGTATGTGATTAATTAGTATTATTACTATTATTATTATGTTTCTTTCGTCTTTCAAATGCTTGAAAAACGAAAGCAGCAGTTAGCCTAAGTATACTCGCACAGAGCAGTTGGGGTTGGGGGGGAGGACTGGGTTAAGTTTTAACCATAAATATAAGGCTTTAAATTACTGATGACCCCCAATGTGGGGCTTATTTTCCAGGGGGGAGGGGGTGGCTTATTGGAGATGGGATTTAAAGGGGCTATGTCAGCTGGAGAGCTTCCGCGCTGAGGTTATGCAAATTACTTTCAACTGTCAAAATTCTATTGTTTTTAACGCGTGGCTTTCTCTGTCAATTTCTTCTCTGGTTATGTCAGATAAAGGTCCCTCAATTTCTTCGTCAAGAAGAAAAGTGTTAAGACAATTTTACCGTTGTAGTTTTGAAGTAAAAATGCAGCCATTTATAAAAATAGAGCGCAAACAAAAATTCCAGAACAACATATTATCGTAGTGAACAAAATAAATCAAAGTTTTTTTTTACAAACG